GATGTGTTCTTCGGCAAGCTCAAATGGTGCGATAGTAAATGAACTCGGTTCCCGATCTCGCCGTTCTAATCAACACGAAACACGCTTCATATCATATACACAAAAGAGAAAAACACAGCTTATGATCATCTCAGGTAATCAATATAATCCATACCTGATGGCTACTAGAAAACAACTTCCTATTACTATCCGGGTCGTGTTTTACGACAGGAAAAGTGTCGGAGAACTGCGACGATTCGTTCCAGGAAGCGAACGGGAACCCGGTCGGAGTAAAGAACTGAGGCTCTCCATTGGTGTTTGTAAGCTTTTCATTCCCAATTACTTGTTCAGAGATGTGAGAGAGCATTCCCAGAGAAGAAGGCAGCAAAGAGGAGAAGCTAAGTTCCCCTCCACCATTGTTATTACTACCACTCAGCCTATTAAAACTTCCCCCACCATAGCCTACATACAATCAGTTCATCAAGAATCTAAACAGAAAGTTCATTTCAACTCAATAATCCAGAGATGAACATCAAATCATTTCAATAAGAACAATATAAAACTATGAATTCATCCATCAATATATATATATCAGATCAGATTAAACATGAAATGGGATGAAATTCACAGGGGATGTTGACTTATGCCATTAATGGAACTAAAATTTCTCAAAAGTAAAACAGAGAGAGACAGAGAGATTCACCATTTTGATTGAGTTGAGAGAAAACTCCAGCAGGAGAGCTACTCTGACGAACAAGATTAGAACCCAGAAAACCAACAGAGCTACTCATTGAAGAAGAAGAAGAAGAAGAAGAAGAGGAAGAAGAGGAAGAAGAAGAAGAAGAAGAGGAAGAAGAACAGTTCACGGCGGTGCTCGGGCGGGGATAATGCGGCGGGAGACCAGAACAATAGTTTCCGGCCGCCGGAGATTCGGAGTCATTACGACTCCCAAATCTAGAAACCATCCGCTCCGATTCAGAGCTCTCGAAGGGATTAGAGCGCTTAGAATCAATCCCCTGAGCGTAATCCGCAAGCAGAGAACTGGGAGCAGAGCGAAATCGAAGCAACGCCGAATTGGGTTGCTGAAAACTGTGGTGGGTATTCGAACCCATCAATCAAAAATCAAAACCCCCAAACCCCAAATCCCCAAATCCCCGAATCCCCCTTTTGAAGAGCAGCGGCAAAAATGGAAGTTCAAACCAAAACCCTCTTAATCATACCTGTAGAAAACCAGAGAAATTCGTCTCTCGCTTTCAAGAACCAACGAAATGGGTCATTTCAACAGCTTAATTTGTAAGCAGAATGAAGATAAGATCTTATAGAAGAAGCTAAGGATAATGAAAACCGACCCACAAGAGAAGCAACTAACCAGAAGCCATAGTAAGTAAAAAAAAACAGAGTATATGAACAGAAGAATTTGCAGAATCAAAGAAGATAAAAGAAATGGGGCAAAAATCAAAGAGGGAGGAAGAAGAAAGCAAATCAATCTTGTTATGGAACAAGAAAGAGATAGAAAGAGAAAGAGGGCAAATCGGGGTTTTCCCACTCGCGGCCTTAAGGATTTGCTTTTGCTGCTATTACAGAAGCGCCATTGATATCCATCCTCTTTGCTTTAATTACATTAAAACGAAGACCGAGACAAAGCTTTCTATTTTGGGGCGACATTTCGCCAATACTCACACTGCTCTTAGCTTAGCGGAGCCCATTTTCGGTATTATAAAAATTAAATTAAATTTTTTACAAAAAAAAAAAAAAAAAAAAAAAAAACCCTTTAAATTTGTTTTTAAAATTAAAATTACCATATTGCCCTTAATTTAGAATGGGATTGATTAGTTGTTTTGGATTCTAATTTGTAATTTTATTTTGAAATAATTTGGGTATTTTGGTAATTTAGTTTTTTTTATATTGATGTAGCAAATAGTACCTATAAATTTGAGGCTAAATTACAAAAGAATTACCTTTAAATTTGTCCTTTTTAGTTAAAATTACCACATTGCCCTTAATCTAGAAAGTGATTGATTAGTTGTTTTGCATGCTAATTTCTAATTTTATTTTGAAATAGCGTCGGGTATTTTGGTAATTTAGTTTTTTATATTGATGCAACAATTAATATTAAAAGCATGTTTTTTTTAATTATTATTATTATTTTAGGAGGGAGAAATGTTTAGGAAAGAAGATGGCTTGCCAAGGAAGCCGTTTGGGTGGAAAGGGAAAAATGGGCTATATGCTGCGGGATTCACAAATCGTGGATTACTCGGCTCATCAATGGATGCCAAGAGAATCGCCGAGGACATCGAACGGTGCTGGAAAGCCGACGCCAAGTTTTGTACTCCCTTCACGCAATCTCTACCCTCCACGTAGACGACTCTGACTCTACTCTTTGCAAAAAAGAAAAAAAAAAAAAAAAAAAAA